GCGAAGCCCTGCTGGATTGCCACGCTCCTCCATCACCACCACGTCGTTGTGCTGCTGTTGGATGGAGTCTTCCTCAATCTCTCCCTCTCTCCTTGCTGGATCAAGGCATGGTTGACGTCACCGGGTTGTACGTGTGTTGAACGCGGAGGTGCCGTCCGTTCGGCACTAGGATCATCGGTGATCTAAATCACGACGAGTACGACTCCATCAACCCCGTTCACTTGAACGCTTCCGCTTAGCGATCTACAAGGGTATGTAGATGCACTCTCCTTCCCCTCGTTGCTGGTTTCTCCATAGATAGATCTTGGTGACACGTAGGAAAATTTTGAATTTCTGCTACGTTCCCCAACAGCCTTGGGCCCCTGAACAAGGTGATTTTCTTATCTTTTTCTTTTGAGAAACAAAACCGAAAAAGGTGATTTGTAAAGTCGTTTCACTGATAATGCAATGAAAGGCATATCAGCAACACTTACTGAGATTTAAACCATAGTCGGTGTGCCTTACTAGGCAGATTTACAAAAATGGCATGGCAAATTTGCAGAAATGGCATGGGCAGGGAGTTGTTACCCGTTTGCGGATTCCATTTTATAGCGACTCATTTTCCTTTTGTGTGTTTGTCAACGTTGCAATGAGTTTGTATGTTGTAGTTATGGTTTCTTATTTCAGTTCCTTGACTATGCAGAGTAGCTGGTAATGCATGAAAAATATTCCTTTCTAAAAAATCAAATTTAGATCACTTCTCCTTTGCTATCCGTCGCTTCAGCACTTCCGGCGGCGGCGGTGTACGACACTCGTCTCCGGCAATGTGTCATTGATGGAGGTGCCAGAGTCCACTCAATAAATAAGTGTTTCTTGGGCGATCTCGATGGCATTGTTCGCGATAGCATCTTTATTTGCATGTAGATTCCTATCGCCCGCTCTAGATTGCGAGGTTAGGGTTTGTAGGGTTAGTTGGTGCGGAGGCATCAGCTTCCCTTCACGGTTGGGACCTCTGACCTCATCCCCACGTTAGTGTGCCTTTTGGTGCCGGCGTGAGGCATGTGTGGTTAAATGGAGGTTTGACTCTTAGATTTGTGACTCTTTGTTGTGACAACTTTTCCATAGTCGTACTTGCCCTCTCTTATTGACGATTTAAGCATGGCTCCGGCGTTGGAGCAACTTGAGGCGGCTCGCCATCGATCCATTCCAGATGATGAAGACGACTGGTCCAAGAATTTCAATGTAACCTCTTTATTTTTCAAAGTTTTTCTATTTGGTCACCCGATAATTGTTTTTTAACTCCGCCTACGTTATTTCAACATAGCTGGTTCCAAGTCCAGTAAAGGAGGTGGGTTGTGATAGGCTTGATAAACCAACATACAAATCCAGCCACTCTAGATAGGTGTTTGGTTCTAACCACACCTAAGGCAAGAATATTTTTTTATGAGCGGTAAAAACCACATGTCATAGACAGGAAAAGTGTGGCAAGATTCCCTTATTCAAAATAAAATGCGGCTAACAATTTGAGCAACTAAAGCAAGGCAGGTGTGACAAGTAAGGCAAAAATAATGTGGCAATATATGGCAAAGATAGTCACAATATAAACACCCAAATTCTAGAAAGTGCAACTGCGCTTTTCCGTCATTGCGAGCGCACGTGGTCTTAGCCATCCGATTAAGGAGTCTGAATTAAAGCCAAACCAATTATGCAGCTCACATAGAGGAATTAACGTGCATGAAAAGTACTTACGTACGCCTTTAGCCCGTGATTTCTCAGCAACATCCCACGTGCATGCATTTATTTGGGGTTTCAAAAAAATTAATAATCCGTAACTTCTAATTTGAGCGTCGGAATTCAAATCCGCTTTCATGGTTGTGTTTCTCGCGACGAGTTCTTCAAAACTAGATTCCATATGAGTATGATTCGACGAATTTTTAGTTGGAGCAACTTTGGGTGCTACGGGGACAACTTTAGTGTTATAGGAAAGCAACTTTTTATTAGTGAAAGGTATGACTTCCTATCATTGAAAATCAGTTCAAAGGTGCCTACCATGACTACCAAGTTAACTAGTTTCACCTTTAAGTTTCTACCATAGCTAGAAAGTAGTATTCTACGGTAATTAGTTTCGCCTCCAATTTAATAGCATTGTGGGTAATCTACTTTCCGAGGTAGGCTAACATTATCTTAAGTTGCCTGCCATGACTAGAGAGTAGTTTAACATCATCCTTAGTTGCGTACAACACTTTTCAGTATGGTAAGCAACTTAGCTTCATAGATAGGCAACTAAGTAACACTGATGGGCAACTTCCAATGTATTATAGGCAACTGAAATAGCAATAAAAGGCAACTAAGTATCACTTGTAGGTAACTTCAGAGTGTTTGTAAGCAACTTAGAGAAAGCAATGATAAGCAACTTTTCACACTTGTAGGCAACTGAGCAGTAATTGTAGGCACTGATAGGCAACTTCAGAGTGTTTGTAGGCAACTTAGAGAAAACAATGATAAACAATTTCACACTATTGTAGGCAGCTATTTTAGAAAATTAGGCAACTGAGTTGTAATTGTAGGCAACTAATTACAAATAGCAGGCAACTGGGCATACAATAGACAACTGTGCAACAATGATAGGAAAGTTGGGAAAAATCACAAGTACACATAGTGTTGTGAGGTTGCTTGTATGTGGCACTAAATGTGCCTCATGTTTTGTGTTTTTTTTCATTTTGACAACCTAATAGGCGGTTCTAATATGCCAAAAAGAAGTTGCTTCCCTATAAAAACAAAGTTGCCTCCATTGCACTTAAAGTTGCTCACAGAAAAAGTTCAACGAAACATATTCATATGGGATCTAATTTTGAAGAACTCGTCGTGAAAAATCCAGCGGTGAAAACGTATCTGAATTTTGGTGCTCAAATCAAAAGTTACGACTTTTAAAAAACTGAACCCCAAATAAATGTAAGCTACAAAATGAGCTCGGGTATCTTGGCTGATTTCCTTTCTAGATCTTTGTTTATTACAGAATCACGCGCCCGATCACACAAACGAGCGCCGGTGCGCTCCCTATCCACGTTCATATAAACAGCCCCTAAATATGCAAGGGTCGATCTCATCTAAATACGGTGACAAGTGAAGGATGAAAAATGGGCAGTATTCTTCATATTTGAAGAAAGATTGCCAAGGATAAGAAAGCTGCTAGGCCTAATAGGTTCCACCAGCTGGAAAGTAGGGTCACTGACGGTTAGTGATTGAAGATGTTATACTTGTCGGAGAAATGATTAGGCAAAGAAGGTTATATGGAAGGACATTGTTACAAGTGCACCTATTGGTAACACAGATTTTGGTCATAGCAAATCAAGAAGGGATTTTAAGCTTCGCTTTGATAATGACAAGGCTAGATAGTAGAGAACACCCATCTAGTGACTTAGTAGGGGTTAATCTTTTTGCTATTGCTCTGACTAAACTTATAAATTCCGTTCTCCACATCATTCCGATATAACGCAATCATACGTCACAGCCGTGTAGATTTACACTCCAGTAGGAAGTTTCCACACTCTTAACAGCTAGTAGGCAGAAATACTAAAGGCAAGGTATTATCTAAGTCATACTTAAAATGCACTGCAAGAGAAGGATAATTCAGTGGTACCGAGGTGCCTCCTCTAATCCTGAGTTGCCTAATAGTGTTTCTGACGAACCATGTACAAAATGAGACCAGCCCGGGAAGATAGCAACCGAAATCCCCAAAATAAGCTGCAACATCGCAGCAAGTCGTTGGAGCGTATCCACCATCAGCAAGCTTGCAACCTACCACCAATACTAATCAAGCCAGATATCTGTATGTGTTGGCGTTGTCCTTGTCCCGCTCCAGGTAATCCCTCGTGATGAGATCTTCAATCCTCTTCTTGATTGCTTTGAAGTCAGGCTGCGGTAGGCACAAAAAATTGAAACAATTCCTTATTTAACACTATTTTAAATTTCGCTTCCTTATTTGACACTGAATTTTTTTTCTTCCCTATATAACAATGAGTCTAAATTTTATGCCCTTTATAACACTTTCGTCCATTTTAGGCCTAAATGACACCTGAAAAGACCCTTTTGTCCCAATGTGGTACGAGTGTGTGCGGAGCAGTAGCGCACACACATAACATCAATGCGGGGAAGTAGTGCACACACACAGGCAGGGGCAGTAGCACACACGCAACAGCGCGCACATGCAGCAGCACACACACCAGCACACACACGCGCATAGTACACACATATGCAGCAGCACACACACCAGCACACACACGCGTAGCACACACATATGTAGCAGCACACACACACACGCACACACGGACGCAGCAGCACACACACGGATGCAGCAGCACACACACACACAGGCACACACGGACGCAGCAGCACACACACGGATGCAGCAGCACACACACACAGCACGCACACACACAAACACGCAGCAGCGCACACACACGGACGCAGCAGTACGCGTGCGCACACAATCATATGATATAAGGGGTAAAATGGTCTTTTTAGGTGTCATTTAGGCCTAAATGGGACAAAAGTGTTATAAAGGGCATAAAATTTAGACTCGTTGTTACATAGGGAAGAAATTATTTGCCGATGTTAAATAGGGCATAAAATTTAAGCACGATGTTAAATAAGGAATTCTCTCCAAAATATTCAGGTTACAGAACCAAATTCAAGCTAAAAATCTGTCATTTGCTAAACTAACCACCTGTCAAAACAAATATGAACAGTCTAGACAAGCATAAACAGCTAAAAATCATTTGAATTGAAGCTAAACATCTGTCAGTTGCTAAACCAACCCATGTATCAAAACAAATATTAACAGTCTACAGAGCATAAACAGCTAGTCAAGTCATTTGCCTACTGGCGTCATACAACTACCCCAAAACATGACATTAGCAACTCCAGTGCAAACATCAGGCTTCACCAGTGTTCAAAATAGGGATCGAAAAAATCATCCAGAACAAAAGGCAAGTGCGACAAAATGGTAATGTTAGTGCGTGCTATGCCAATGAATATGGTAATGTTTGACAGTAACGAGTTATGCAAACGGAAATCGATGATGTTAAATGCGCTTTAGTAGCAAGATGTGCCAAACTCCCAGTGACCAAGTATGTAGAGAACAGTACCTTGAACATGCGGCTGAGCTGCTCCACACATTCTGCAACTAGCTGCGTATGGGCCATAACTTTGCGACTTTTCATGATCCGCACAATTGATGCATCAATTGCATACCTCCGGTCCTTGTCAACATCCTCAACAACCTTTTTCTTCTCATCGACAGGAGGTAGGGGTATCTACAAGTTATGCGAATATGCAATCAGAAAGAATAACATGGATAGCTATACTCTATTAAGTATGGCACCAAACAAATCAAATAAGAGAACCAGAAAATACCTTGATCCTCCTCATCCTGTCAGTAAATTTCGAATTGAACTCAAAAGAATCATTGGGCGAAATAGTTCTACCAGCTGGTTCTTTGCTAAGAATCTTGTATTTCGCGCAAGAGAGAGAATGAAGCAAACGGACAACATCATCATCTGACAGGTTCAGCTGTGTTACAATCTCAGAGTAACTAAGCTTAGTAGATCCATTGAACAACAACAGCAACGCAGCCTGCAAAAACAATAAGCATGTAAAAAAATAATCACAGATGACAGATTACAAGTACACATTTGTCAAAGTGAATAGAGTTTAATCTAAGTTACCTGATATGTTGTAACAATGAGCTCTATAGTTTTAGCATCAAATTTTGCACTGATATTGCAGGTTCCCAAGGAGTATATCCAGGTAAGCTTCCTGTGCTTTGTTCTTGTTGCGTAGAACTCCTTAAAAACCTCCACACATTTCACCTGACATAAATTGAGAAGTGTAGATAAATTTCCATTTCAAAAAAATGCAAAAACAGGAAAATTTTAATCAAAATGAATCAATGCGATTTGATATCTGTGTTTCATGTTCCGAGATAGAAATGAACTCATGCTCCTTATTTCCCAAGAAAAAGTTAACTTACCATCTCGGAGGGAAGGTTTATGTCAAAAGTTTTGTAGGTTGGCCAGAATCCTGTTGTCAAGACAGTGACAGCCAAGTCTACCCCAGGATTTGACTCCGGATGATCAGCTACAAACTCTTCAAACTTAGTTTGATGATCTCTTGCAACGGTAAGGTCAGTAACCATGCCTTCCATTTTTGAAGTAAACTGCCCGCCGCACTGCTGCTTGAGCTTTGTCAGGATGCTTCTTTCATGTTCATCATTGGCGCTCTTGTCAAAAAGCAATCTCCTTGCAAGTTTTTTCCTGTAAAATTGATCGAGCATTTCAATACAAATACAAAGCTCCAAATCATGACCAACTATTCAGCTGTGGAGGTTAAATAGGAAAAAAAAAGATATCATTCTAGGTTTACAAGTAGTTACCTGTAGAACTCAGCAAAGAGATCTTTATCACTAATGTACGCGAGCAACCGCACCACCTGAAAGTTATTCACTGACAAACTTGAGTTCCTTGCTCTAAATTGATGACATCAGCAAATGTGAAGGCAACTGTACCTTCTCAAGAGCATCCTCAATGGCTTCATCGCTGAGCTTCTCACTGCAGCCTTTCTTCAAAATGTTGTCACAGAATGTGGCAAGTAATTCAGCACTGGAACTGCCAGAGACACCCTTATTGCAGAAGACCTCAAAGGCTTCTTTAAGTGCCTGAACAAAGAGAAGTTTGGGAATGAGGCAGCAATCCCAATTTATAGTGAAAGCAAAGTGGAATACAAATGTATCGACCGGCAGACCTTGTGAAAGAGTGTATGGCCCTGAAAACAATCTGTCACATATGCTACATACTTGTCATGCAGCTCAATGATTTTCCAGACAAAAACCTGAAAGGCAAATAACAAGCATTAGGTAACAGATGTCAATTACAAGAGCAGTAAAATCAAGTTACACACCTGTTCCTGCATGCCAACCATCTCCTTCTTCTCTGGCTGTACAAACAATATTGTCAGAATATGTATTCGCAGGAAAAGAAAAAAAATGTAACAACACAAAGATGAACCACTAGTTGGCAGGAGGAGCTCATTAATGTAACAACACAAAGATGAACCACTAGTTGGCAGGAGGAGCTCATTAATCTTTTTAATTCAGCAGACTAGCAGCAATATAGAAAGCCAATTGGCAAGTTGCAATAGTCAGGTGTAAGCAGTATCAAGAATATTTAATGTGGAATAGCTTCATCGACACTTGAATGATGTATTACTCCCTCTGTCCCATAATATAAGACGTTATTACAACCACATATTGGTTGTAATTTGTCATAACATCTTAAACTATCTAAACAAATTGAAAGAGTGTCTTCTTGAAAATTCAACTGTCTAATCAAATTGAACCACAAGCAAGTGTACAAATGATGCAATGGCTAAAGTTAAAGACTGCACCTTCTTGTTATTAGCAGAATCTTCTGCTTGCTTGACCAAAGCTGTACCCTCGTTCGTAACATGCTGCAAAGATGTACAGTTCAATCACAATTTAGAACTAATTGCGAGGAGTAGAAAGGAGATCTGAGAATTTGAGAACTAAAGACAATACCGTTTTAAACATGTTAGAAATAGGTTCCAGACCGCGGGTGATTTTTGAGAAGAGTCTGTACATCCTTGAAAGATCCTCAACCTGTAGCAAACAATTAATAAGTGGCCAATTCTGTTGATGAACATACACTGTCAAGAAATGTGCCTCCTTCTGATCAAACCTTGTCATCCCGAAGCAATGCAAAACATCCAGAATGCTCCTTCTCCAGAAGTTGTGTTGCATAACTGGCAAGCAACTCATTTTGCACTTTCTGTAAAATCAGGAAGCACAAATTAAATACAAACATATCACAGACTGCATAATTTGCATCATTCCTCAAAGACCCTCACAAACTTTCAACATACCTCCAGCAACTTTGGCTCACTGTTAATATGCAAGTAGTGACCAACTCGCTCCTTCTCACTTTTCAGGCACTCTTCAGCCTAATAAAAGAGGCATCCAGCAATCAATTACATAAAAACAAAAATACCAGGCATAGGTAAATATGTAAGCAGTCACAAAGGCCTTATATAGATGGTACCTTTATCATGTAATCAGGACAAGAATCCTCAACAATCCAGCTTTGAGCTTTGACAGAGTAGTAATCTGTAGTATCCTTAAGCAAGAAATCTTCGAAGTCATTCTCGTAACAATCCATATTACCTAACCCAATTTCAACGAATATATCCAAGACGTTCTTCAGCAAGGCCCTGTCAATCTGTTCACCTTCACGCTCTTGATCGATCTGTTTAAGAAAGGTGCCACAACACTCAGTTATATATGTACAGAAATTGTTGGATACAAGTTCATAGAGAGATGCAAAGACTCACCAGAGCTATCACCGCATCTTTTACCTTCCCTTTGATCTCTTGAAATATCTATTACCATGAGTTGACAGATTAGAACAGAAAAAAACACTAAATAAGGCATATAACGAGAACAGGAACTAGAAAATGGTAATTACCAGGTCACGGAAGCAAATAAGCCCAACATCTCTAAGTGCAGTAAGTGACCTCCGTGTGATGAAGTACCGGTCAAGATAATGGAAAAAGCGTGAAAGCCACCTAACCATAACTTTATGGTTCGACCACCTTTGTACCAGCTCCCTGAGCATAAACTCATCATGCTTCTCTTTTAATGATGGCAAGACCTACAGTAATTGAGTATAAATAAAAAGTGAGCAAACAAATAAACCACAGGATGATTATAGAACAAACCGTAAGATGTGTGTTGTGTGAGTCCTGTCACAAATTCAGAACATAACTACCACCCTGGATTCCTAGTCCCCCTTCATCCCATCACATCACACATTACAAAAGGGGTTACTAGGAGGATATCCAATTAGACAACAAGGGGAATGGACAAAGAAAGATTACAAGTTACATAAAGCAACATGCATCACCAAATACCAGACTAAATATGGTGAAGAAACTATACACTCATGACAATGACATAAATATCCAGAAATTTATACCAGGAAATAGTATTAACAAGATATCTAAATTCAGCGGAACAAATTAATTCAGTCACACAAACAGAGTCTCTATAGGATAACAATCTACTAGAATAAATGAACTCAACATTCATATAACGAGGCCAGAAGAGTGACCCTAATACAGTGAGTTATTCGTCAAGACAATTTTAGTGATAGAAAATGTTTCATCGAATTAGGATGATGGACGTTAGTTAGAAGAGCAATAATTTTTAACCAGATGCAAACATGATAAGTACTCTTAATCTCAAGAATAACCACAGAAAACACTGAGAACAGTTCTAAAATGCAGGATTCACTTTTCCAGCTCCGTGATGACATTTGTTTGTATAGCAGCTTGGACCCCAGAAAGATGAGAGCACAAATAAACTGACCTAAAAACACATTGCCAAGTAAAAGCAAACTCACTGATGCATTTATGTGAAGGGCTGTTTGACTGGGATACCGGAATTCTAAGAGGAAGGTTTGTTTCAAATTGTGCAGGAACAAAATATGTAAACAGGATCTTATTATGTGTGCTAGTAAATACTAGTAAGATAGAATGTAATCATTTGCATCCAGTAAGACAACTCCCCTCCGGCTACACCTCAACCCCCAAAAAAAACACGCATGAAAATCCATGGGTGGTGCATGTTCGGAACCAAAACACAATCAGACTCGTCTTGATTCATTGGACCAGAGAACCAACAGCACAGGCACACACACGCACAAAACAGGGAACAATCTGAACACGACACGGCATGTACGCATAAGCTAGAGCAGGCGAATCAGCTCACCGTGGCCCGGATGTACTCCTCGAAGGCCTCGCGGTACTTGTCATAGAGCTGCTGCGAGTAGTCGTGCGGGGGTTTCTGCGTGCACATGTTGTATATCGTCCTGCGCGACAAGGGAGAGACAAGCAGGGAGGGGCGGGGAAACCCTAGATCAGCACCGGATCAGATCGAATCGGGCCCGGCCTGGCCACGGCCGGAGGTAAGAGGGGACGGGAGCGACTTACGTGTAGAGCATCATGTAGTCCTCGGAGCTGAACTGCGGCTCCGGCTTGCCCTCGAGGATGTTGATGAGCTTGGTGATGCCCCGCTGCATGAACGCCCACCCATCCTCCAGATCGATCGTCTTGCGGTCCTGCCCGTGGCCCGCCATCGCCGCCGTAGCCGCCGGTTTCCGCCCCCGACGGCGGCCGCAAACCCTAGTGGAGAGGCTGGGTTCTGTTGCGCCCGTCGCCGCGTGGGGTTTGGGGAGGAGAGAGATGAGGGGTGGGAGAGACGGGGCGGACGGCTTATGAGGAGGGGAATCCCGTCGCAACCAAGGACGTTTTGATTGGAGGAAGGTTCGCTTCCGCTCCCGCGGGCCGCGTGGGCCGTACGATCGGGGGATGACGGCTGGGATGAGGCGTGTGCGAGGGGATCGTGTCGCTGTTATCTAGCCACGGGTGTAGGTCGGTTCGGCACATGATTACGACTGCGTTGAGTTGAACACATCTCTACTCCTAATGACTGAGTTGGTAGGATTGCGTCCACGATTTATTTTCGTCCGGTTTATTTTCGTCTGGTTTATTTTTGTTTGGTTTAATTTGGTCTCTCCTTCCATCATCATATCCTCACGTTGATTTTTTTCACCCTCCCAATAAAAACTTTCTTAACATTTACAAACTTTCCCAATAAAAACTTTCTTAACATTTACAAACTTTCCTAACCAGACACCGTCACAAACGGGCAGGTACAGAAATCACATTACAAACATTAAAACCCTATTTTCATGAAAATCAATTCAAAATCCTAACTTTCCTAACGCATCGATTCTTACCTTTCCTATGTACCTCATTGGTGCCCCATCGATGCCCCCTCCCACCAAATGTAAGTTCTTTCATCCCCTCGCACGATCCCCTCGAACCACCGTCAAAGTAAGGAAACACCCAGCGCCTTTGTTCCAAATCTTGCCATTTTAGTCAACGCCAAGCTGCTCATGGCCGGGGACGCCGTCGTCTTCATGCGCCGCGCCGACGGGGAGCTGCTCGCCGGGCGCGCCCAGGTACCCCGCCGTCTCCCAGCAGGCGTCCGAGGGCGCCGAGCGCCGGCCACGCAACGCGCGCGCGGGTCCCGCCCGAGGAGGTGGACGAGGCCGTGCGGCTCGCGGCAGAGGGCACGCTCTTCACCGTCACCTACTACCCGCGCCAGGGCGCCGGGGAGTTCGTCGTGCCCAAGCAGGAGGTGGAGGACGCGCTGATCGGCGCCTGGGCACCCGGCGTGCAGGTGCGCATGAAGTTCCTCGACGCCGAGGAGCGCTGCTCCGAGTGGAACAACGGCGCCGTCAAGGCCGTCGAGTCGTCGACCCCTCCATCTGGCGCATGCTCGAGGTACATCTTGCGTCCATACATCCATCTCTCCAGTCAATCCATCCGATCATTGCGATAATTGTCTGGTTGATCGATGGAGTCCACCTCTGTTTGGTTCAGGCATGCTTGCTTCAATTTGTTTGCTCTGCCATTCAGTATGGAGTAGCCCTAGATGTTCACAATGCTAGCGACTCGCCCGTCAAACCGCAGAGATCCCTCGCATGGAGTAGCCATAGATGTTCTAGGCCACCACCGCCAATCCGGCGAGCCTACGCTGCGACCGTTCATGGCGCCTGGGGGCAATGAATTGGCATTGCGGTCATGGAGGGGAGGCTCAGGAGCAGGGCGACGCTGGCTGGTAGAGGAATTCGAAGGAGCCAGGCCGCCCTAGCGATCACCTTGACTGCTGCGTCGTGCACCAACTAACGGCAGTGTCCGCGGTGGTGAAGAAGCATACACGGCGAGGCTAATATAAGGTATACCTTGGAGGACGCAACCCCCTGTCGTCAACACGTCATGGCCCGAATCGCCTGGAGGCCGCAACCCCTGCCTGTGCTCCAGATTCACAGTGTGTCCTGACGAACGAGGCGGCAATCTCTGAATTGAATAATTGATCGTTCATCCCGTTCTACCGCTGATTCGCTCGGCGCCACCTCTGTGGTACTCTTGACTGCTTTCACATATCCCCACAAGGTATAGTACGTGGTATCCCACCCCATGTCATGTAATTGCATTCTGAAGCAATTAGTACATAGGAGTCAACCCATAGGACAAGGAGGACCCGGTTATAGATTTTTTTAAGGGAGGGTGTGCCGTGTACGGGAGCATATCTGTTAGTTTGTATCCTATGTTTAACAATTTCGGAAATTTTTGTAGTATAAAAATCTCAATAGTGAGGATACATTGCTGAACGTGATGTGATGTATATGATTTAGTTTATCATTAGTTGTTCTCCTTGCCACTACCCACTAAATTTCAGATCTGCCTTCAACTTCTAATGGTAAATATCCAATTAATTTTAGTCGGCTCAAAAGGCTTCAAGCTTCTTTGTCCATTATTTCCTGTTCAACTTTAAGAAACCTTTAGTTTGTTTTGTTTCACTTACTTTACTATTCCTTCTTGATAAACTCACCAGGTACTGTATATATCTCTCCCTGGTCACAGTGGGATGGCTAATAATTTCATGCACAACACCACAATAGCAGATATTCGGAGATTTGGAATTGTTTTGCTGTTTTCTTTCTATGAAAGATAAGCATGAATGCAGCGATGGCAAACCTAAACATCGTTGCCAATTTTCTCTTTCACAGAATAGGATGAATGTCACGGCAGCAGCTGCAAACTCCAAGAACGTTATTGTCATGGGGGGCACCAGTTTCAATTGTGTCTTCTTGCAAGCTCCTTGTCAATGAGAGGCACAAGGTCAGTCTGTACTCTGTAGATACATTTGTGATGCAGTGATTCTTCTCTTATGCTAACTAATACATTGATTATGTCCTATGATTCTCTAGGAGCACTAAGAAATTATATGTTTTCTTAAGGGTCACATCACACGAGGAAACTCTCACCCACAGCCATGAAATTTCCAATTGAATCAAATGCAAATTATACATAGTGCTCTTTCAAGCCACAGTTCAACCCCCACTTCTTGCCGCTCGCCTTCAGCCCCAGCAAGACGATTAAATATTTTACCTTAATCCATATATCAGATCTCGTGCTCAAGAAGACGATGGTGAAGAGCATGATAATGATCCAAATGTATGTTAACAATTGGTCCAGTTTAGAAATCTAAACAGGAAAGCTGAGGGGCCATTTAGTTTATACCCAGGCCCACCTCGCCAGAGATGGTGCGTGCAGATATTTTGGCGAACGATTTCCCTGCCCCTGTTTCGCCTGTCCGTGGACGCAGAATGAAAGCAGCGACCAGTTTTTTTTGGCATGACTCCTATAATTGGTTTTCAATTCAAACAGTACCCAGTCAATGCCGAACTTCTTACTCAATATGACTCCTCAGGTTTCATTTGTTGGGGAGGCAGACAGAAACAACGATAACTAATATTTTTTCTTTTCACTCACAATAATATTGTCATCAGATACAATTGCTATCAGGTTAGTGTTTTATGAGCTTTCATCATGTCCCTTTATGGAACTTTTAAATGTTGATTATCATTTATCACTGCTACTACTTTATGCAGAGTATTGATGTTTGTACTGAAGGAAGTCCAAAAGTCTTATCAATGCAGGCAAGACACTTGATATGACAAATTTCAAGTGGAAACGAACAAATATTATGCTTGTTCATCGCTTGATGTCTACCCTGACTATTCTTTCATTTGAAACTCGCTAATAACAAGTTTTTACTCTGCTGTTAAAACTGATGTTGCTAATTCGGTTCATAAAATTATTGTCGTTATAATTTGGCGATGTAATACTTTGCCATAAGCCAATATCAAATTATGAAGCATTGCTATAACTTCCAACGTGGTGCTAGAGCATTATATATGAATGTACTTAGTTAAAGGCCATCCAAAGATACACATTTGCAAGGAAACTGCACAATGTCAATACGAATATGAAAGATAATTGGATAAATAACTTTGAAATCTGATCTTTTTCTGATGATAACACAACTTACGCTGATTTCCATAATGAACGGAGAATAGAAAAAGTGTTGTTGCGGCCATGACTTGAATAACAAACCAAATTCACAAGGTCGGTACTGGACTATTGGTAATATATATTCTTTTGGTAGGGATTTAGAAATACTTCACATCTCTTTTTAGTGGATTTTGTGATAGGAGTGAGAGTTGAGAGTGAGCGGGTTGGAGGCTGTGGTTGATTTGTTCAGTTACGAATGTGAGCGGAATATTTTCCCTACTTAAGAAAAAGTGGCAAATTGGATAAGGCAGTCATATTTTTTTGATCAGGTCATACAATATATATTTTAGGATAGAAGGGTAAATGCATTAGTTTGTTGTTTTAATAGTTAATAACAGACGCGGTGGCGTATTAGTTGCATCCCCAACAACAGCCATCATATTTTTGTTTTGTGGTAATGCATGACATTCAACTGTATGTTACAACATGGCAATGCCTCATGAGACATCGAATTTGCCTTCTTGGCTTGGGGTCGTCATGGGCGGCGCACGCCTCCTCCGCCTTGATGGTCGTGGCGGATCGGCACGAACACGGGAGGAGGGGATCATGACGGAGAGCAAGCGGTTGGTGGGGGCACTCCTCCTTGGTGGTCCGTGGGGAAGTATGGTATGAAGGGAAGAGGGCGCCAGGACGAAAGTGAGGTGAGTCTCATCCGGTTATAAAGTAGAGGGCTCCAGCGAGAAATATTAGGCTATGGTGGGAAACTGAGCTGGAAGGAGAGAGGGTCCGACATGAGGGAAGGGTGCCTCATGGTGTGGGGTTTTGTGTTGTGTTGGGACCGTGTGTTGGAAATAACATGCCGGATAGTTCGGACAACGACATTGCTCCCCATATATGAGATGGATTTGGGGCAGCCTGTACTAAACCCGGGCAAACGTCGGGCCGGGCCGGGTTTCGGGCCGGGCTTGTAAAAGCCCGACCTTCATTTCTCAAGCCCGAGCCCAGCCCGAAGCCTGAAATACTCCCTGTTTTCAAGCCCAAGCCCGGCCCAAAATCAAGCCCGAAGCTCGAAAGCCCGGCCCGAATGCTGTTTTTTAGTACGCGCACGTGCAAGCCCGGCCCGAAGCCCGAAAGCCCGGCCTGAAATACAGAAAAATTGAAGCTCGAGCCCGGCCCGAATTATCTTTCGGGCTGCAAAACAAAGCCCGAG